ATATAGCACAATGTGTTTCAAGAACTAAGCTCTGATATGTAGTATCATTCACTCTTGTTATAAGTGCCATGACTGTTCAAGGTATTCTCTAACTAAAGGTGCTATGTGAACTTGATAATTGCATACAAAGGCAATTACATGAATAAACTTACTAGTAGTTTAAAATAATGATTAGTTAATCATTTTAATATTCATCTCTTCTCATCAATGGTATCTACTATTTAAGTAAACAATGAAATGTCATTAATTGAAATTCCTGAATATTTTGCTGTTATGCTACTAGATGGAATTATCTTTGCTTTTCACTCGATTGTTTTTCAACATTTACCCTTTGAGTCAACAGGGCTATAATAGTGGAATTCCCATGATAAAAGTCTTAGGGACTCAGCTCACCAGCCTTCAAGTGGCCAAAAACTCCACACAGTACCAAAGAGAGGACACTTCTTAAGAGATTCAATAATACTAGAAATAAGGATTTCTATTGCCTTTATTCTCATTAATCAGGTAAGTTGAGATGCTGCAATTAGTCAATAGCCTACTAAAGTTAGCAGTTATTTTTCTGGTGTAAGTAATGGATATGTCTTAGGTCACAACAATAAAACTTTTTATTCTTTATTGTTATTTTTATTTAAAAAAGCATTTATTGAACCTTCACTTATACTGGACTTCCACAGAGAAGTCAAAATTTTGACTCCTTACTCTTATCCAGTTTCTATCTTGCTTTGCTTGGTACCGATTGTATTTCTGCAAAGAGGAGCTAAGGTTTTGGAAACTTGCTTTTACTTGACATTCTTCAGTTCTGCCATAGGAATATAATAATCTCTAGAGTAGCAATTGATAATTCTTCTGGAATCAGTTTTGAGTAGCTTTAAAATGGAAGGCAAATCTTCATTATCAATAAAATAGTATCATCAATTATCCTTATATTTATATAATTGTCTATCTCAAACTTAATTTACCATGGACCAGGATTTATCAATACGATACACTCCCTGCTTTTCAGATGCTCAGGGACTTGGTATAGCTCCAAGAGAATATTCATTGTAAATTATGCTATGGAATATGAATATAACATATTTACAAGCATGATGTTAGGGCATGGAGGAAGGCTATCTAGTCCACAATTAAGTAAAAAGTCATTCTTGATGAATTGACGTAGGAGAGAGTTTTTGCAATAAGACATAACCTGCTAAATAAAAACATTAAGTAATCTTTTAAATAAAGCAAGGAAACATGTACAGCCATAAAGGAGCCAAAGGTGTTTGAGACAGATGAGGCAAAGGCTGGGGATATAGAAGGATTACAAGAACTTTTCTGGCACACAAAAAAGTGAGAGCAGTGAGTGGAGCAGAGAAGCATCAAGAAATTTTCCACTGGTGTGCTTGTCAACTGCTTCTCCTTTAGTGTTTATGGTATTCCTTCTGCTTGTTTCTATTTTCTCCTGTTTCTTTCTACTTGCTTTTCATGTCCCATCTCCTCTCTTCTCTATTTGCTTTTCATCTACTTCCTTATTAGTATCAGCTAGCTAAGAATAGGTATATTTTAGGGAAAACTAACAATGGATTGCTCACAAACTTGAACTTAATATTAATGATAAAACTCTTGCTGAGAATTCTTTTTGTTAATGGAATTGTGATATTTTATGAGAAAACCACTGTTTTCATATTGGTAATCTTTGCCATAATTTCTAAAGATTGTTTGAATGACTCTGACATTACTATATTGAATTTGTAGAGCTGTTTATCTTGATTCTCTTCTGTTGTAAAATAATCCACTTTTACTTGACAGCATATAACTTCATTTTAGCCATCTGAATAACACATAAGTATAAATGTGGGGAGGTAAAAGCAAATGGGAGCTTACATTTCCAGATTATTGAATGATGGTACTTAATGTACATTCTTGAATATTATTTCTCTTTCAAATAAAAATTTTCCTATTACTAATTTTACTTAATACCCTCCAATCTTCAAATTGGAAATATTTCCAGATTTACATATGTAAAATGACTTAGTCTAATAACTTCAAGCTATTCCATTGCATATATGCACAATTATGTAGCTAATAGGTTTGTACTATTCAACATTAATAATAGTCATGATAAAGGATTTATCATAAACATTACTTACTTGTGCAAAATACTTGTGTTGGCATTCGTTTTCTAGAAGTCAACCTGGTGTCTCATCTTAATTATTTTTTTCAACTTATAAATCAAAGGTGTAAGAAAATTTTTGTTCTGAAACATTGATAATACTGAGAATTATTTCTCTCATCTATGCTTTATCACTCTTTGTTGATCTTTTTCTTGACTATTTTGATTGTTAAGCTAAAAGCTACCAAACTACTCATGACTGATAAGGTTGATTGTTGATAAGCCTACTGGCCATTGCATGCCTGTTTTGTGAGTTCTCTGCACATACTTTCTTTCTCCTTAAAATTAGATCTACTCCTTCCAGCATAATTACTTTGATTCTTCATTAATAATAGTAGTAAAATGGTGATAGTTTTCTAAGCCATAGTCAAAAAGTAGCAAAGAACATTTTTCATAAAAAGAAAGACAAAGTAAACTGGTCAGTTGCCCAATCATTTAGAAACAAACAATAAACCTAGTAGTATTGCTTTCTGTTAGTGTTTGTGCATATAGTGGGGGTGTTTGTTCATGTGTGGGTCCATATCTGTGAGCCTGCAAGAGAACAATGATGGTTGCTGTTCCTCAAATGACACCTACCTTGGTTTTGTTTGAGTATGCATGAGAGAGACAGGATTTCTCACTGGCCTGAGGCTCACAAATTTGGTTAGACTGGCTTAGCCAGTAAGGTTTAGGGATATGCTTGTGTGCATACTGGAATTACAAACTCACATCACTATGCTTGAATTTTTAACCTGTGTTCCTGGGTGAAATTAGAACCTCATGCTTACACAACAAGCACTTTACCAGCTGAACCATCTCTGCAGCCCTGACTTTTGGTCTTGGTGCTTTTCTATGCCTATTCTTTGGAAATACAGGATGTATAACTTTACACTTCTAAATGTCCATGCCTTGGGTTCCACACAATAAATGATTACAAGTTTTAGGCCTAACTAAAGCTCCCTTGATGGGAAAAATATATTGTCATTCAATTCTGTGATTATGCCTTTACTCCTTGCTTAGATTCTGTGAATTTGAATTATAAAGATTTACCTGTTACACAAAAATGTATATACCATGAATGTTTTGACAAAAAGTATATATAATTTTATATTGTATATTATTCAAATCAGGGTTATCCTATATATGCTCACATATTTGCCATAACTTTGTTGGAAAAATACTATTTTTCTCTTCTGGGTCAGTATCAAATTGATCACTGATTTCAGCTCTAATGTTCCCTGGTGACTATCTGTTTAATTATCACTAAGTGGTCTTTTTTTAACCTCTGCAGTGTTTTGTTTTGCTTTGATATCTACTCCTACATTCTGACCATCGTGATGCCTCTTCTTATATGGTTTTGCTGCACAGAACTCTATTTCTGATTCCAGTAAGTTCCTGGTGTTTGCATCAATATATTCTATTTTGTGAGTATGCAGTATAAGGATTTATTCTTGTGAATACCAGCTTATTAAAAAATGACACATAAGAGAGGAAGTGGCATGAAAATTGAAAATGAGTCATTGTCAGTGCTGAGTAGAGGAAGCAAGGTAGTTGAATTACAAGGGGGAAACAATGGCAGTCAGTCATGTGTGAGTTAAACATAAATTGTTTGATTGGGTTGCCTAAAAATTAAGTAGTTAATAAGCAGAAAAAGTAAATTAATATATTATGTAATATATATTTTGGAAGATGCAGATATGTGAATTTTGTATGGTTTAAACTATTAAACGCATCTAGGGTAGCATAGGAATAAACAACTAACAGGTAAGCATGAGAGAATCATCCTCTGTTTTTCTTAGACATGTAGCTCTTAAATACAAGCTTCTTAGGTATTTTGTCTAGTGACAATTTTCATTAAAAATACATTATTCACCACTTTATATAATATTGATTTTCATTCCTTGTAGTTGCTTTAACATTCTTTTGAAGGTGTCTGTTAAAGAAATTATATCAAGTTACATTCCAATTGACAATGTATGAAACTGTCTTTCCCCCCTCACTGCCATATTTATAGAACTTCATCAGATTATGAAGAATTTGATAACAAGTGAAAATTAATAAAATTTACTCTTTTGTTTATGTTTTCTCAGATAGTATAAAAGTCGATTTACCATTTGTATGGTGACTAAGAGGCTGTTCTTAGGATAAAACAGCAAAGTTCTTTAACACAAATGCTTGCTTTACTCTGATGTACTTCCCTTGTCTCAAGGTCAATGCAGATGACATTTCAAACACTTTACACTCTAATTCCTCTTCAGTCAGATGCCACTGATATAAACCAACCATTCTCCTATGCTTTTTCTTCATCTTAGTCATCAAGGTTTTGTTTGTGTTTAAAGTTGTTCACGCTTAAAGTATTCAATGTGCCTGCAATTCTGCCAGAAACAGGATCACCGTCTTACCAAAGGACATAACATAGTATTTGGGATACAGTATATATTTATAATGGATATTAAAAGAATAGAGACATTAATTCTTCAAAATATGTAATGTCATGAAGAATTGTTGTTATTAATACACATTTTGAAACAATTTATGTTTATTTCTTTCAATAGATATTTATTTTAAATTATACTTTTTAATATAAAATCATTTTATTGTAATGAGTTCACAAATAAAATATTTCACTGCTAAGTTATTATTTTATTATTTATGGTAACTGCTTTGCTTATTTTGTTTTGAGTATTGTAGATAACTCAAGAAAGATCCAATGAATGAAGCAAATTACTCTGAAGTATCTGAGTTTATATTCCTGGGATTATCAATCTACAGACCAACACAATGTTTCCTCTTTGTGTTTTCTACAATATCGTATGCAACAATTTTTCTGGGGAATTTCTCAGTTATGCTTACAGTTGTCCTTGACCCTCATTTACATTCACCCATGTACTTCCTTTTAGCTAATCTTTCATTTGTTGACTTTTGTTTTTCTACCTCAACTGTTCCTAAATTGATTTCTGATCTGTACTCCAGTCATAATACCATTTCATTCCAGGGCTGTATTTTCCAGATGTTTGTCCTTCATGTCCTGGGGGGATGTGAGATGGTGTTGCTGGTAGCCATGGCCTCGGACAGATATGTGGCCATATGCAAGCCCCTTCACTACCTGACCATCATGAGCCCACGAATGTGCCTTTTGCTTCTGATTGGTGCATGGGTTATTGGTCTCATTCACTCAGTGGCTCAGTTAGCTTTTGTTGTCCATTTACCTTTTTGTGGTTCTAATGAGATAGATAGTTTTTATTGTGACCTTCCTAGGTTCATCAAACTGGCCTGCACAGACACCTACAGAATGGAGTTCTTGGTTACTGCTGACAGTGGATTAATTTCTGTCACTACCTTTTTCTTATTGATTGTCTCCTACATCTTCATACTGTTCACTGTATGGAAACAATCCTTGGGCAGTTTGTCCAAGGCCCTCTCTACACTTTCTGCTCACATCTCTGTGGTGGTTTTGTTCTTTGGACCATGCATCTTCGTGTACATATGGCCATTTCCTAATGTCCCAGTGGATAAGTTTCTTGCCATTCTGGACTTCATGATTACGCCCATCCTGAACCCTGTCATTTACACACTGAGGAACAAAGACATGAAGGTGGCAATGAAGAGACTGAGTAAACAACTCCCGAGTATGAAAAGGGTCTCCTAAGCTCCTCACAAGAATATACAACCTGAATACTGTATTATAAAAAAATGCTAAATGATGTCCTCCACTTTGACATGATTTATTATTTCTTCTCTAACTGCTTGATAAACTTGAATAATTTATTCCAAATTGATAATGAAATGATCATATTTATTGGTTATAAGCCATATATTATTACATATTTACTGCTTGGTTATTATTTATGTATCACTTTTTTGTTATTCATTGGTTACATAATTACTAGCTATTATGAAATACATATTTTAGACTATATAAAAAGCACTAATGGAAATGAAAGTTAAAAATTATCCATTGTTTTCACACCTGAACAGTTCATCACTGCCTTCCAGACATTTCTGGTACTTTTTCCTATTTGGAGCTAAGTTTAATCAAAGCTAGCAGCAAACTCAAAATTCTTCTGCATTAGCCTCCTGAGCACTAGGATTAAAATGTGCACCATCATGTCTTGTTTGCTTGCTTTTCACTGTGTGTGTGTGGTGAATGAGTGAATGGTGAGATTATATGGTGTGGGTGAAGGTCAGAAGGAAGAAGAGATCGGTGTATTCTGGAATCTTGTGGGAAACATGGAGTGAAAGGGGTGTGGAGAGAAGGAAGTAAGGTAGAAAGAAAGATGGACTTTGCAGGGGTGCATTTGAAGAGATGAACTAATGTAAGAGCTGGGTTGGGTTGCTCCTGGGGAGAAGAATGGGGTTGAGAAGGGGGTAGTGAAAAATGGAAGAGGAGGAAAAAGAACTTAAGGTTGTATGAATAAAGGAGGGATAGAAGAGGGAGAGAGAAAAAGGGAAGAGGAAAGGAGAGCAAAGTGTAGAAGGGGAGTAAGGAGCTAGAGCTGGGATTGAGAGATGGAAGCTGAGGAGGAACATTGTTTGCAGTGAGGGTGATATGGATATTTAATGGAACACAGACTTGTTTTCCTGAAGAGAGATGGCCAGAAGTGGCTTGTACATTCTCAATGAACACCCTTGAACTCTAGGGATGTTAGCAGTGCAGGAGGCCTGCTCTTGCATACACACCAATGTTTACCTGTGTTGCTTGGCAACCTGGAGTCCAGCAACTGTATCTAGGGGTGTCATAAGCTATTTCCCCCACCATACAGTTTTAGTGGGAGACCTTGTGGACGTATCTTGATTTTTTTCATAATTCTGAGTTGGGGAATTAGTGGGCCAAAGGACAAATACTGAGCTAATTCTGAGTTGGGGAATTACTGGACTAAAGGACAAATACTAGGGAAAATCCGAAGGTCAGGGCCAGGCGGTGAGACCAGTAAGTATCTTCAGTCATGAAGAACTTGGTTCATGGAATTAAGGAAAAGACACCTATGGGTTTCTGCGATGTCCCAG